CTGCATGTACTGTGTGTGTATGCCGAGCTTCAGCAAAGATAAGCCTCTACAAATAACAAAGTGTTTCATTACATAGAAGTCCTGAGATTTCCTCTTTCCTCCATCCAAAGAATCAAATTCTAAAGGCAAACATCGTGGCCTTCCTTATTAAGTGCTTCTGTGCAGTGTTGTTTTTCCTGTATTTCTGCAGTGTCAGAGTTCGGCTCATTCTGAATGAGCCAAGGTCAGGCTGATGTTTCGCTAAATGCAAAGGAAACAAAGATGGCTCTTAAGTCCAGACGGATAACTCAAATGCAGTGTTCTGCTTCCTGGAAGCAGGAGCCCGTTGTTATCTGGGTGACAGGGGAGGGCTGGAGAAGCAGCCAGAGCTGCGAGGCGATTGGAAGTTGAAGGAGTGGGAGGGAGAGGTGGAGGTGGGAGACACCTTGCGTGGGCTACTCAAGTCTCCATTATGGAGCTTCCACAGCAGCTCCTCGTTCTCCATGGACAGACGCTTGTTCACCTTGGACTCCTTATGAAGCGACTCCTGCAGCATGGCCTGCTCTGTCGACAGCTGCCTGCGGTGCATCAACACAAGACAAGCGGAGGCCTGAACAAAGCTTTTCATCGTATACAGTTTTTTTAAACTGGGGTGTACTGTGACAGTCACTTATGCTGCAAGGCTAACCTGCTCCAGATATGCAGGTACCACGTATGAAAACATCACCTACCGGCCAATCAGTTCTCTGGAAATGGGGTCAGCATTCCGGACAGATTCCCTTGACCTCCGTATGCTGAGAGGAGGAGGATCTAAAATTCTTCAGCAGTGTCTCGTGTCTTTGTGTTTCTCTGACAAGTTTCATTAATATACACATTCTTACACTTGATTCCTTCCAATTTTACAGTTTTAGGTTAATAAATTAATGCTTCTAAGACATCCTCGGACATCTGCGCTGCACTTTATATCACAACTGACTTTATGTCAAATTTGGACACAGATTAAAGGCCTTTACACACCAGAAGCACAAAATCTGTATAAATATTTTATGTTTCAATAATATTATTTTGGACACCTATTATTATTTTTTCCAAACCAAGCTTGAATTTTCAGATTTTCTGGATCCAAATCAACAGATGTGACCAATCAGATCACTGTACTTGGCAGCAAAGTGCATTCACAACTCAAATATGCAACGATAGGAAAATAGTAGATGCACAGATAGATGCTGTCTGGGTCAGTCGACTCTATAAAATAAAGTCTCTGCTTACTCGGATGTGCCCCCAGCTCTGAAAACAAGAGCTCAAACTGACATCCTGAAATATGTACGCGAGCAGGCGTGATGCAGCTTCATCTCCTGGATGAAACCATGAAATTATCACTGCTGTCTTCTTCTGAGAATTACTTTATTAATTTAGCAGGCCTCTTCCAGTGTTAATGACCGAAGTGCACACTTTAATTTAAAACACACACACACACACACACACACACACACACACACACACACACACACACCTGAAGTGTGTGTGTTTTCTATATTTGGATGAGTTTGAATCTCAGTAACTTCCACCTGAAGGCATAAAGGTCAGTTTTGCAGCCCTATTTGACAAAACGTTGGGACGCTGTGGAGGCCCTGTGAGTTGCGTTCACAGACAGTCATTTCTAGACATGCTCGTGAGCATCACAGAATCAGGCCTGTTTTTAATGCTGTGCTCACCGACGGCCTCAGCCATACAATATTCCTTTTTGGCATTTTCCTTTGTGCGGCAACAAAGATAAGACAAAGCATCCCAAATTTTATTTGGAATTAGGGTCGTAAAAGCAATTCCAAAAAACAAAAAACAAAAACAGTTCTACAACCGCACTGACCTCCTCAGATGGAAAAGGGAATATGAGTCACTTTTCGATACATATTTGGAATCTTTGTGAGTAGCTGCGGCACCAGGATGGCGGCGTGATCGATAGTTTTTGGAATAAAGTGGAGGTGCATTAGAAGTTAGGAATTATATTGGCACACAGAAAAAAGCTTGGTGTTCATTACACTTAATGAATGCAGTAATTTAAAATGAGTCTGAGCTGAGGCAGCTGTTCAGGTGCTTCACTCTGTGGAATTAATCCCTATGAACCCATATGGTGGACTCTTACCTTGAAAGAGCAGCGTGTTTTTCCATGCGGGCTTTGAGGTCTTCGTTCTCTTGCTGGACTTTTTTAAGGCTCTCGTCTAACTTTACATTTTTCTCTGTCTGGAAAAAAAAAAATGAATGAAAAGAGCGAGTTTAAAAGGGAAAGTCTCAGCAGCAGTGCTGAACTTTAAGTTTCTTTATCGTCTGACCAGTTTGTCTATCTCCATGAGCTTCTTCTCCTGTTGGTGGACCTGTGTGTTTTTGATATCCAGCACCACTTTGAGACTTTGTAGCTCCTGCTCCAGATACAGAGTGTGAGGGTCCTTCTGTGAGTGAAAAAAAGTAGAGGGAAATTGCTTAGGATCCTTTATGAAGATAAATAAATAAATAAATAAATAATAACAGACCATATATGGGTGGGGCGGTGGTTAATGAAGCACTCCATTACTGATCATGTGTCGTTTTATTAAACTGCTGCTCGTGCCATTTTTTTCTGAATAAGTGTATTAATAACAAATATGGAGTGACAGGTAATGTGAGGTAGTTAGACTAAATAACTATGCTGGGGGACAATACAGAGTACAGTTAGAGCCACTTTACATTAATGAGGAGTGGCGGCCTTACTGTACAACAGCACTGCAGGAAAATTAACTCTGGGCGGGGGAATCTAGTGCATATGTAGCAGAAATTAACTCATTTCAATTCATACAGTAGAGAACAGTTAATGAGGGTTAATTACTGAACAAACACAAATCATTGCAGACTCGAGAATGAAATCCTTTAAGAAAATATGAAGACATTTTTGCATCTGTTCCCATTTTATCTTAAATCTTTCATGCTCAGGGGGAAACGACACTAGAGTCACAAGATGCTTCTGTATCAGATCTGAGCTATAATAAGCACAGAGTACCTGACTGTTTTCAGCCAGCTCTTTCCTCTTCCTCTCCTCAGCAGTTAGCCTCTCATTTAGAGCACTATTCTCCAAGGTCAGCTCCTCAATTTGACTCTGTGGATGTACAGCACAACAAAGTCTGAGCAAACCATTACAAAGTAAGCTACAGTCCTGTTGTAAGATGACTTAAAAGAGCAGAAGAGGAAGCTCACAGAGAGAGAGGCTTCAGCATCTTTTAAGGTTTTGTCCAAAGCTTCCAGCTCCTGGTTGTGGACTTTCCTGAGCTCTGAAAGGTTTGCAGATTCCAGTATCACAAAATGAAATGAACACAATGAAAAATGCATGGAATAAAAACAAAGACAAATGTTCCAATATTTAATGCCTGCATTATGCAGGTGATGAATATATTTGGATTGTTCTCTCACCTTCCAGTGACATCTCATACTGCTGTTTAACACACTGCAGCTGTTCTTCATGGCTTTTCTCAAGGTCCAACTTCATGGCTTCATGATTTGCTTTAAGCTCTTCAATCTTTAAACAGAACATAAAAGTCAGTTAATTTTCCCCACAGGATTAAATAAAATTGACTACTAGACTAGGCTGTAAATCATCTTAAAATTTCCCAAAATAAGAATCAGAAGGTGCTGTAGAGACAAACCTGCTGCTGCATGACAG